AGGGCAGGTTTGGCTGGCTTGAGTTGTGGGGATTGAACCACAGCAACCTGAGCCTGACTGCTTTGTTGAAGCAGCCCCTTAAAGAACTGAGCTAAGGGGTAGGCCCCCTGCCCTCTTCTTTTTGAGACAGGGTCTTCCTTGTTCACTAAACTGCCCAGGCTAGTAAGCTGCAATCTTCTTGCCTCAGCCTCCCATATTGCTAGGATTACACAATTGTGCCATCATAACTGGTTAACATACTCTTTTAAAGATAGAATAGCAATGTGACCAACATAATCTTTGCATCTTAGTTTGATTTGATAGCCAAAGCAAACAAAGGAGTTGACAGTTCTCTGTAGAGGCTGAGCTCACGCATTACTGAGCTTTCCTTGGATGTCCCTGGGGGCCATGTGGAAGCCAAACATAGCACCTGTCCAAGAGGTGTCCTTTGCATCCTCAGAAATGTTTACAGAGGTTTTAATGAGGAGAGTCAGTGACATGGATGTCAGTAACTTCTTTTGATTACACATTTACAATGGGCTCTAGAAAGTGCTTGTTAGGCATTCATGGAGGCAAAATGTAATTTCTATGAGCATTTATGTTTTACAATTTGATGGAGAGCACACAGAGACCAGTTTACAAAACTGAATTCATCAGGCTCATAGGATTTGGTTGTCATTGCCAAGTGACCTCTCGTGTGGTGACTTAAACCCAAGGAACCCCTTTATAACTTGGATCTCCATTGACTCTTTGCTGAAATGGTTTTTATCTACCAAAGAACTTTACAGTTATTAGGTACTAATTTGCTTATTCCTTTTGGAACCTGGTACATTGGTAGAAGTTGAGTAAGAAAGGAGAAGATGTGTGTTTTTGATAGTACAATCTTCTGTAGTCACCTGTACAGAGTTTTTTGAGTGTGTCATTAACAACTTAGACATTGTCAGAACGGCCTGGGAAGGTCAATTTGGGAATGACATGCTGTATACAATTTGCTCATCACTAGAGAGGGTCCCTGCCTAACACAGAGAGGCATACTTAGAGAAATCAAAGCTTTATATGGGAAGTACTCATTTCCCCTTTGTGTAAGGACACTGAACCAGCCAGCCTGTTACCCTCTGGTGTAGTGTCCTGAATGCATCAGGGGCCGATCATCATTGACTGAAAAAAGGTAGGTGAGGTGCTGTTGGTAGAGTAACACTTTAATTGGTAGGCAATCTTCTTAGAGGGAGGGACGCAGTCCTTACTGTAGTGAAGCACCTCGCTCATTGAGAAAAGTATTATATGTTGTATCTTGAAACACTTTGTAATGAGCCTACTATGTATGAAGCAGAGAACTCTTTCATTGATAGTAGCAAAATGGTATCTGTGAGTCACTTTTCCTCCCTTCAACTACAAGGTTTTTTTTTTTTTTTTTTTTTTTTTTTTGAGAGTATTCCAAGAGTTAATTAACAAATATTCTTTTGGAGGCATGTTTTTCAGTATCTGCACATCATTTCTATGTGATCCACAGCCATAGCATAGAAGCTGAAGACTTTTATCAATGAGATTTATTTTGGAAGGAATATATGCTCTTGTTTTTCTGGTAGGTGTGAAATAATTTAATGTGGCAACCAATTTCAAAAGTAGTCATACTTGTATATATATTTTTAATATGGATATTACCATTATGAAAATTTCAACTCAGTAGTACTGACATTAATTTCCAATGAGGTAGGGAAGATGTCTTCTAGGGAAATTTACTGGGAAAATAAATGACCTGAGGGGAACTTGCATGACTTGACTAGAGTTATTCAGGGTGCTTGGTGCAGAATGCGATTATCACAATGTGAAGTATTTACAGGCCAAAAGGAAGCACTAGCTAAAAATGATGTAAAAACAAGGGGTGGAGGCTGCAAAAATAACTGTTTCTCATTAGTTTGCATTAAGGTACGTTTCTCATGAGAAAACCAGATCAATGACTAGGTGTAGTGTAATGTGGGAAATTTAAAAAAAAAATCTAGGATGTGATCTCTGCCTTCAGGCTGTCTATATACATGAATGGAATAAATTAGACTCTTAGCTTTTAATTTGCAGTTCTTTTCACTTACAGTCCAAACTAAATTTAATATTGGCCTTCCAGCCCTAGGAAAATTTCCTCACCTTCATCATCCTTATAGTGGAAAAGTAATTCTCTGTTATTTTTTAAAAATGGAGAATTTGTGAATGTGTTTTGCCTGATTTTACACTTCATAAACTCCCTGTTCTTTCTTTCACAACATCTGCATTCTATCTGCTGCCACGGCAAATTATTTGTTATAATTCTTTAGTCCTCAATAATAGGTAATTAGTGTGGAAAAATCCAGTGCAATTTGATGTGGAAGTTAAAGGCCTCAAGGGAGTTCTCTAACTGATACACCTGCCTCTTGGCTGGTTTTTCCTAGCTCGGTTTTGTATTTAATGAAAAACATATTTTTGTTGTTATAGCTGAGTCTCGTTCTTGGCGCCGCCCCTCATTATGAGTGCCTCCCAGGAGGCCCACTTGGAAGGTGTTTACTGTTAGACAAGAGACAACGGACTTAATGAATGGCTAAAGCATGCATTCTAGAACATTCTAGGACATTCTAGGACAGAGCATGGTAAATTGTGTTTCCAAGTGAAGTATTCCCCTCCTCTATTTGCACACACTTCTTAGCATACTACTCCAGATTTAGACAGACACTGCACTCAGTTTGCTTGGCAGACTATAGTTCCTGCAATGGTATTCCAAACTCTACATGTGTTAACTTGTTTGCTAGCAATGTAATAAATAGGGATGATTCGAATTTGCTATAGTAGGGGCTCTGGTGGCTGGGAATGAAGACATGGAAGTCAGGAGGCACAGGAATCCTGCTTCCCTAAGGCTTAGCTGGTCAGGAAAGAGACCCTAAATTTGAGTATCAATAGACTGTGTGTTAGAAGTTTTAGTAGTGCTTATTAATTTATCCACAAGAACAGAGTGACTGCTTTGTTGATCAGAATTTTATTTATTAAAATGCATAATGAAATGGTTTAAGTTATATTGATTAATCATAGCCTTTTCATGATGGACATTTAAAAAACACCATTTATGCTTCAAATGAGAATAGAAAGATGAAGGACTGTGATTCTGCAAAATAGCTTCCTAGAAAAGCAATTAACCATTTTTTTTTTAAGTTCACAGATGATAAATGATATAGGTTTCCTATTTCCTGTCACTCTTGGTTACCTTTGTATGAAAATGGATTTCTTCCAAATTAAAGTCGGCACCAGCCTGTCGGGCAGAAAAGGCATCTGTGAGCAGTGTGTACATTACATATTCATGCCAGTCGAAATTTCTTAATTACATTTGAGATGTATAATGTTTTCAGATTGAAGTCTGCTATCCAATTGCTCCCGGATGCAGTGAGATTGTGTCAAGACTGAAGCCTCAGTTTTTCCATCTGTCTTGGTAGTATCCTTCCCGTTACCCAGGGCAGGTGGTAGCCACGTCCCATGGGATGGTCTTCACCACAGTGCCACTTTCTGTTACCTGTACCACCCTGAGTGCCTACCTCTTGGTCAGGGTGCTTGTCGTTGGTGCTACGCAAGACCAAGTCTCAGACCCAGATTTTACTCGCTGGCTGAAAGCTCTTTCTTTCTGGATCTCACTAGCTCATTCTGAAGGTCACAGGGTAGGCTGGCCTCTGCAGTTTGAGGCCTCCTATAT